AAAATTACATATTTATCATTTTTTTTTTTCAGGTGAACCCAGCAGCTGGCATGATCAGTCCCGATCAAGTTGCCGATATATCCTTACATCAGCAGGATTTCCACTCGCCGGACGAATTTATTGAGGGGATCCCACAAAGCTGGTGGTCTGAAGACATGAGGGACAAAGAAGTAATTTTGTTGGTGAATGTGAGAGGAAGCTGCTCGACTGAGACCAAGAGTCACCGAGTACACGTTCGCCACAAGTACTCGGGTAACCAATGCAGCATCGAGGCGAAAGGTGATAATTCTGGTTCCTCCAGAAAACACAGAGCAGGTTCCTACAGAGGTGGACGCTGACTGTAGAATAGATTTCTTTATTATATTCATATTCTTTTGTTGGAGGTAGTGTTGACGCCCGTCCATCATTACATTATACCATCTTCCTGTAAATTTTCCGGTGGACTGCATTATTTTGGTACATAAAGGTCTCATTTTTTTTTATTTTTTTTTTTTGTTCACATCTGTGGCATTTTTCAGAACTGGTTCTTGTTTCTTTCCCTCTCCCTTGATCCTTTATTCAGTTTTGTGCAATCTATTTGTTCATTCTTTATTTTTTGGTTGCATTTTCTAGTCTTGCAGAAATGAAACTGTTGTGTCTTGTAGTTTAGAAGAAAAAGAAGGTAAGGTCCATTTGGCACATGAAATGAATATATACCCTACAAGACATGGATCTTTAAAACAAGCCACCTTATTTCGAGTCTGATCATCACTACAGACAGCACCAATTACAAACTTTTAACCCATCAAGACCTTCCTCCCAGTCTATGTGATGGCTCCTGATCCAGACTATTCAATATCCTCCTCTTACCCTCACACACACACACACACACACCATATAGATATATGACTATATAAAAGTTAAATAAATATCAACACAACTACTTCAAATTTTCAATACAAAGGATCCCTTCCCTACTCCACTCGATCAACTCCATACCTAACGATCGTTAAATTGTAATCCAAGAACGACACCGTCATACGAAAAGCGCTCAAAACCCTTTCACACAGCATACATCTTCTTATACCTCTCGCTATACATCTCGTTCTCCGACAAATTCGACAGCGAAAACGACCTCGAAAGCGTCGTCGACCCCCTCCTCACGCTCCTCATCCTCGAATCCTCCAGCCTGTGCCGCACCACACAGTAACACATGGACCCTATCGTGGCCGTCATGATCGTCCCACCCACCACAGTCGCGTACACCGCCAGCCACCTCTCGTGGGACCCGACCACAATGTACGCCAGCGCAATGAAAGCAATCGATATGAAAAGGCACGCGAGCCACATCAGCTTATTAATAACCGACATCAGCTGCTTCTTGGCCTTGTGCTCGATCACGACCAGCGAAGTCTGCACGACCACAACAGCCAAGGATATGAAAAGAGCAATGCTGTCGAACACGAAGAAGATCAAGAAGGCCGGGTCGTGGGCCACGTGGGCCTCTCCCATGTTGGGCCCCCGGTCCTCGACGTATTGGCCCGGGACAGTGAAGATGGCGGCGAATGCCACGGTGGCGATTAAGACGGCCACGACTGTGGCCGAGTTGATGGCGTTGTTGAGGCCCTCGATGTGGAGTTTTTTGACCCGTTTGGCGATTTTTCGGACCTTGAAGCCCGTTCGGCGGGTTTGGTGGAGCTGGGATTGGACATCGTGCTTGATGTCGCTAACGGTTTGTTTGAGGTGCTTGGAAGAGGTTCGGGGCTTGCCGTGGTCGGCCGAGTGGGCAGCACCGGCGGCTCGGAGGGCGGCGGTTAGTTCGGAGTTGCCGAGGTTTTCGGAGATGTCGAGGGGTGTCTCGCCGGCAGAGTTGGTCGGGTTGAGGTTGATGCCCTCCGTGGATATCAGGCATTGCACCATCTGACAAATGCAAAGAAAACATACAACCACCTTTCTTTAGTTCTTTTTTTCTTTTTAACTTACTGTAATATGTAATAAGTTGAACCNTTTTTTTTTTTTTTTCTTTTTGGTAAATTTCATAAATATGGAAGTGTAACTTAGCAGTATAGTATAAATTATAGTTTCCCAGGTTGTACAAGAAGTATCCTTGAGTTTGACCTGATTATTAAATAAAGAATAATTACAAATGTGCTACTAGGAATTTGGTACACCTCACATTTTTCCCATAAAGATAGTTAATTAAAAATTTAGTTGTAAAATAATTTATGTAAATTAATGGTAAGCATAAATAATAGTGAAAAATATAATTTTTTAATTCAGTGAGATCACTGTCACTTTATCGTAAATCTATAATCCTCTACAAAGAAACTCCTATAGGCAGTTACTTCAAAATTAGTGTTTTCCAAAAGGCTAATATAAAGCTTTGTCAACAATTCGAGTAGAGGATCTGACTGGTCAATTCTCTAATTTGAGTCTGAACACATTTTGTCCCCTTTGTAAGCAAAAAACATAAGGAACTCCCCTTCACGTTTATTATATTCTACTATCAGCTCTTAAATTGGAACGTTCAATCAAATCTCAGTTTCTTTTTTCTTTTCTTTTTTTCCTCTCTCTCTCATCTTGAGTTAGCTTCTCTTTGGAGGGGTAAATTTTGTAAATTTTCATAAATTTTGCCTACTCAAACATTGATACACACCTCTAAAGTCCCAATCTGCAGTACTTTAGCTACTCTCTGCAAACAAACATCTTCACAACAAAAGAAAAACCAAAAAGCAAAAGTTTTGAGTTTCTCAACCAACCTGAATCCTACCCTTCCTTGTTGCAATATGCAGTGCTGTATTCCCTTTGTTGTCCTCTACCCCAAGTAGAGAAGGGTCTGGCCTCACGAGCTCCCGCACTATCTCAATGTTCTGCCCCTTCACAGCCATGTGCAATGCCGTCTGCCCTTTCCTGTCAGTCTTGAACCCAATGCTCGGGTCTTTACTCAACAGAGATTTAACCACTTCCAGGTGGCCCATCCTTGCTGCCGTGTGGAGCACGCTCTTGCCATTGTTGCGGGTGATTTTAGCAAGGTTAGAGTCAGTGTCAAGAAGAAGGTTCACGACTTCTGTGTGCCCTTGGGCAGCTGCCGTGTGTAGGGCAGTCGAATTTGTGGTGTCTGTTGTCATCACGAGGCTCGGGAAAGAACGCCTTAGCTCCTTTAGGACATCTGCAGTTTTTTGCAACACGAATCTATCATATGTTGAAGTCATGCAGTTATGTGTAATCTATCACCTATATTTGCAGCAACTACTGGCTTGAAATAGTTCCTGGAGTTTTCTACTTCAGCTCTATATAGCTCATGAAGCAACTTTTGAAAATGAATTAATATGAGGTGAAAAGAAGACATTGAAAGATATTTGGAAAAACCTCAAAATTTCTTAATTCATTTAAGCTCCCTTTCCTTTCACTGATTTGAGCCAAACATGACATGTCGAACGAGATGTAAAACCTCCAAATATAAAGATGCATGAACCAATATCAAGAACGCACTAAGGAAAGGTATGTCGATGAAGTTGATATGTAAGGGAAAATGCTGTAATTAAACAACATGACACGTGTATATATAGCACAAAACTAAATATAAACACGCTATACGAGTCATCTAAACGCTAAAACTCCGGTTACAAAGCATATAATATCTCCAAATCGCATTATAGTTCAGAAACCTGCAATGTCTGAAGATCCACAAGCAAATAGACACGTGAATCTCAAGTTCAAAACTAAAGCTAACATTTCATCCAGTTCAAAACATGCAAAAAATTAACCCAACAGCATCACAAGACAACACAGTAATATAAAACAACACATATACAACAAGAAGAGGACTAAAAGAAGATAGAATCACTGAACAATGAGAATCGCTACCAACACAAAAACGATGATACATTCATGCAAAACAAAAGCAAGAAAAGATTTACCAAGATGCCCCTGCTTGGCAGCCACATGGAATGGGTCGAGCCCATTATTCGCCGATATAGACGAAGCCTCAGCATTCGAGTGCTTCAGTAACTCCTCCACCACCAGCTTATGCCCATTCTCAGCCGCCACATACAATGGGGTCTCACCTTCCTGGTTTTGCTTAGTCAGCAAATCCCTCACACCACCATTATTGACACTGTCAAACTTGTGAATGATTTCTTTCACCTTCCCCAGATTACCCGCCCGAGCAGCCAGGTGGAGTGGGGTGTCCCCACGCTTGCCCGGGGAATCTTTCCCCCTCTTACGGTCCCCACCGAAGCTCAGCTGCCTCTCCATTGCTATTCGGAAGCTCTTTTGCTTCTCCATTAATCCCCTGAAGCTCTTCTGCTTCTCCATTGGCGCACCCCGGAAGCTCTGCTGCTTCTCGATTGAAATATTCCGGAAACTGCTTTGTTTCTCCATGTTCATGAAGATGTGTTTGGTGTGTGTTTGTTTTGCAGGTAATCTTGTTGATAAGCCCACACCAACAGGTTACTTCTCTAGAAAATTTCAGTGTCTACAGATTTTCATCATTATCCAGTCCTGAAACTGTATGGATACAGGATACTATTCCTTAACAAGAACTGTGCCTCAAAATCGTCTTTCAGATTGAGTAGAAAATATAATCCAAAAGATTTTACGACAGCGGACCTCAAGATCTCCGGAAAACTCCGACCAAAGGAAGACAGTACCTCGAAAATCTCCTAAATCCTAGCAAAAAACACCACCTTGAAACAGAATCTCTTAAAAAAAAGGCAGAGTTTGAAGCTGGAAACTACAACTCCAAAACCCCCCCAACAAAAAAGAACGATTTTTTCACCAAGATATTAGTTCAAGTATCACATACATGAACAGTAAGAGAGCTGCAAGACAAAGGGAAAGAGAAGAGATGGCGTCTTTCAAGATCAATCCACAGCTAAAGACAGAAACTTTTAACTATATAGTGAAACCCCAAAAGAAAAAGAAAAACAATTCATATCAGCAACTCAAGAAAGGCAGGAATCACATGGCACATAGATTACAATAATCTTAACTTTGTTCAAGCACCTATCTTTTTTTTCTTTTTTATCTATCTTCTGTTTTTTGGGTAATAATGGAGTAAGTGATATGTATCCGGCTTTCGTGTTTTGTTTGATTCCGATAATAACCCATCATGGGTATTGTAACAATGATATTTTTCTTTAATGAAGGAATGAATAAAGAAAGTGTAGATGGGGTGGTGCAAATTGGGGCCGCCATTGATGTTAACATCAGAAGAGCACAAAACAAAACGGACTGCTACAAGGGGTGGGGCTGCTTGGCACAATGCAATAAGATGAAGTGGGGTCCGCCATGGTTGAACAAACAACGTCAGATTCCTTCACAATTATTTAATCGGCTTATTTACTCCACTCGATTGTTTATTTTTTATTTTTAAATCTCAATCAATTGGTTGATTAATTTTTTTAAAGATGGTATATTTATCACAAGTATCACAAATGTCATTGTTGCAAACATCCTGAATTAATGCTTGTAGCCTTGTACATCATTTGCGTTGTTTTGATGGCCACGACTAGGGCTGCAAACGAGCTGGTCGGGGGTGTTCGAGTCAAAGCTCGACTCGAGTAGCGTTGTTTTGATCGCCACGACTAGGGCTGCAAACGAGTTGTTCGGGAGCGTTCGAGTCAAAGCTCGACTCGAGCTTGAGTTTGACCGAACTCGAGTCGAGCTCGAGCCCATATTTTGTCTTGTCGAGCGGCTCGAGATACATATTAAATTACTAACCCTTATATATATTAGCATAGGTGCTTAATAGTAATGTTATCTTTGCACTTAAAAATTTTCGAGCCAAACTCATGCCCAGTTTGAGCATTTTAATTTCGAGTCGAGCTCGAGCTATTGTAATTTTTATTGAGTCGAGCTCGATCTTAAAAATCGAGCTCGAGCAGCTAAAAAAAAATCAATCTTACTCGATAAGGCCAATGCTCGACTCCACTCGACTCGTTTGCAGTCCTAGCCACGAGTGGCCACCGAATCACCTATTTAATGTTGAAAATTATATATATAATTATATATATATCTACACACATTATTTTTATTTATCTTATAAATATACGTAAAAATAATAAAAATGAATAATTTACATGTAAAATTTTTATTTCAAAATCTTAGTAATATTATCTTTCACTAGTGCGTAGACCTCAATACACGTGACAGAGAGAAATGTTAAATGGGTTATTTTTATATAACATGTCCTTTTATGCTTAATCTGTCTCTTTTTTAACAACAGCGTTGGCTCATCTATTTTTACTTATTTTTTAGTTATTAATATATTAATCGTTTAGAAAAAAAAATTATTTTTTTAGCCAAAACATTAAACTTGAGCTTTACAGCTAGCCTGTAAATTATATATTATCACGTTATCATACTAATATATTTTTTTTTAGTATATATATATATATATTCTTTATTATAATAAAAAATAACAGTTTTACTTATTATTGTTCATCATATAATCCTTAATTATTATTTTATTATAAATTTGTTGTCAAATAATATCATTATTATTATTTATAAAAATTATATATAGAAGTAGTTTTCTTCTTATTTTTATATTATTGTAGACATCGAAATTTTAATATTTTATTAATTAATGTGTTTATTTATTTTTGGACATAAATCCATGATAAATAATATATTTAATTAATAAAGTAAATATTTCTTGTCCACCAAGTCAAATCTTAAGACTAGGAAAGAGATTGTATCAAATTCTAGGATAAAGAAAGAGATTATATCAAATCAAGAATGACCAATCAAATTGAGGTCTTCTTCTCCAAGACTCTCTCTCCTACACCTATAAATAGGGCTCTCCTCAAAGTCACAAATCACACCTCAAACACCAAAGACACCTCAAAAAATCCAACACCCAAGACACTTCAAAAATCCACACCTCAAAAGTTTTATGTTTTTCATAAAATTTGTTACTACAAATTTGGCACGCCCAGTGGGACATCTCTACCTTTCATCTCTTCTCTTCAACCAAGTTCGAGGATCTTTGAATATGCATGAATATTTTTTTTTAAGAGGATGTACAAGGGGGCAACTAAGAACGATGTCTCCTCAAATCATAAAGCCGCCGAAAATCGTCGACGTCCTCAGATTCATGCAAATGGAGGAAACAAAAGTGGTCTTTCATATTCTTCTCAAATTCCATGAGGGCAATTTACATGAAGAGCCCCATCAAATTCTCAAATTCATATGCTCCTTGATATGAGCCTAAACTATCTACATATTCAAATCCTCCTTGACAAGAGCATAAACTATCTACATTTCTCCTTGATATGAGGCTAAACTGTCTATATGACTCCTTGACACGAGCATAAAATGTCTACATATCAAGATCTCTTTTATACAAGAATAAAAGGTCTACATATCAAACTTGAAGGCTCCTTGACACGAGCATAAAATGTCTACATATCAAGATCTCCATGACACGAGAATAAAAGGTCTACATATCAACATTGAAGGCTCCTTGACACGAGCATAAAATGTCTACATATCAAGATCTCCTTGATAAGAGAATAAACTATCTACAAATTCGAAGCTCCTTGACACGAGCATAAAATGTCTACAAATTTGAAGGCTCCTTGACACGAGTATAAACTATTTGTCAAATCAAATCAAGACTCCTTGATACGAGTTTAAACTATCTACATATCAAGTCAAATGAAGAACTCTTTGATACGAGTTTAAACTATCTACCAAGTCAAATCAAAAGCTCATTGATACGAGTATAAACTATTTGTCAAATCAAATCAAGACTCCTTGATACGAGTTTAAACTATCTACAAATCAGGTCAAATGAAGAACTCCTTGATATGAGTTTAAACTATCTACAAACTCAAGTCGAAGAACTCCTAAATAAGAGCTTAAACTATCTGCATGTCCAAACCAAATTCAAAATTTTGAGACTCATTCACTACCAAGATATTTTGTCCGTGAACAAGTCTCAAGGGGGCATTTGTAGACATCGAAATTTTAATATTTTATTAGTTAATGTCTTTATTTATTTTGGGACATAAATCCAAGATAAATAAGATATTTAATTAATAAAGTAAATATTTCTTGCCCACCAAGTCAAATCTTAGGATAAGGAAGGAGATTATATCAAATCTTAGGATAAGGAAAGAGATTATATCAAATCAAGAAGGACCAATCAAATTGAGGTCTTCTTCTCTAAGACTCTCTCCTACACCTATATATAGGGCTCTCCTCAAAGTCACAAATCACACCTCAAACACCAAAGACACCTCAAAAAATCCAACACCCAAGACACTTCAAAATTCCAACACCTCAAAAGTTTTATGTTTTTCATAAAATTTGTTGTTACAAATTTGAATTTGTAACAACAAATTTTATGAAAAACATAAAACTCTGGTATAACTTGAATATAAATTGATCAAACGATATTGCGGGTACAATCTCTATATGTATCCTCTGATTCTTCTCTTCATGGATTTGGATTTGGATCTTTGAAGATGGATTTGACAGTTGGATTTTCTTCAGACTTGAGCTTAAATTTGTCTAACGTTAATTGGGGGATGAATGACTTGATCTCGAATTAAACGTTAGGACTTGATTTGATTGAAGACAACTTCTTGGAGGACTTGCTTCTTCGATCTTTCTAGAAGACGGATTTGGACTTGAATAACGTTGACTCGAGGGCTTGAGAGCTTTTTCCCGGATCAAACGCTATGTTGCTTGAACTTCTCGACGAACTCGGCTTGAATGTTGTGGATCTTCAAGAACACCTTTGGATCTTTCAAGAGAATTATTGAGAGTTCTTTGAATTGAGACTTTTGATTTTTTAGGTGTTTGATTCTTTGAGATGTGATTTGTGGCATTGAGGAGAGCCCTATTATAGGTGTAGGAGAGAGAGTCTTGGATAAGAAGACATCAATTTGATTGGTCATTCATGATTTGATACAATCTCTTTCTTTATCCTAGGATTTGGTACAATCTCTTTCCTAGTCTTAAGATTTGACTTGGTGGACAAGAAATAATTACTTTATTAATTATATATCTTATTTATCATGGATTTATGTCCAAAAATAAATAAACACATTAATTAATAAAATATTAAAATTTCGATGTCTACAAATGCCCCCTTGAGACTTGTTCACCGTCAAAAATGTCTTGGTAGTGAATGAGTCTCAAAGTTTTGAAATTGGTTGAGATATGCAGATAGTTTAGACTCGTATCAGGGAGTTCTTCGACTTGGGTTTGTAGATAGTTTAAACTCTTATCAAGGAGTTCTTCACTTGACTTGATTTGTAGATAGTTTAAACTCGTATCAAGGAGTTTTGATTTGATTTGACAGATAGTTTATACTCGTATCAAGGAGTTCTTGATTTGACATGATTTGTAGATAGTTTAAACTCGTATCAAGGAGTCTTGATTTGATTTGACAGACAGTTTATATTCGTATCAAGGAGCCTTCAAATTTGTAGACATTTTATGCTCGTGTCAAGGAGATCTTGATATGTAGACATTTTATGCTCGTGTCAAAGAGCCTTCAAGCTTGATATGTTGGCTTTTTATTCTCGTGTCATGGAGATCTTGATATGTAGACATTTTATGCTCGTGTCAAGGAGCCTTCAAGTTTGATATGTAGACCTTTCATTCTTGTATAAAAGAGATCTTGATATGTAGATATTTTATGCTCGTGTCAAGGAGTCATATAGATAGTTTAGCCTCATATCAAGGAGAAATGTAGATAGTTTAGGCTCTTGTCAAGGAGGATTTGCATATGTAGATAGTTTAGGCTCATATCAAGGAGCATATGAATTTGAGAATTTGATGGAGCTCTTCATGTAAATTGCCCCCATGGAATTTGAGAAGAATATGAAAGACCACTTTTGTTTCCTCCATTTGCATGAATCTGAGGACGTCGACGATTTTCGACGGCTTTATGATTTGAGGAGACATCGTTCTTAGTTGCACCCTTGTACATTTTCTTCGAAAAAAATCTTCGTGCATATTCAAAGATCCTCGAACTTGGTTGAAGAGAAAAGATGAGAGGTAGAGATGTCCCACTGGGCGTGCCAAATTTGTAACAACAAATTTTATGAAAAACATAAAATTTTTGTACAACTTGAATATATATTAATCAAACGATATGCGAGTACAATCTCTGTATGTATCTTCTGATTCTTCTCTTCATGGATTTGGATTTGGATCTTTGAAGATGGATTTGACGGTTGGATCTTCTTCAGACTTGAGCTTAAATTTGTCTAACGTTAATTGGGGGGTTGAATGGCTTGATTCCGAATTAAACGTTAGGACTTGATT